CTGTAAACATCTGTAAAATGAGAGGAGGACCTTGGTCCAAACTCTGAGGCTCAGCTGTGATCTATAAAGGAACGGAGCAGAAACATGACTACACCTGTTTATTAATCTGAGCCCAGAACCTGTTCTGATCCATTTGTCCTGGAGTCAGTTTGGGTCAGAGTATTTCCTGGTTCTGTTTGTCAGTTTGGGTCAGGGTATTTCCTGGTTCTGTTTGTCAGGAGGGGGAGATGTTCACTAAGACCAGCTGCTATCACTACTTTCACTCCCACTGCCTCGGACGCTACGTCAGCCACTCGGAGCGGGACCTCCGTCAGCGGGAGAAGGAGCTGGAGGAGGACAAGACCCGAGACAGAACCCTCCAGCAGGTCAGAACCCAGCAGCTGTGCAGACACATGTTAATGAAGAAGGTGGTCCTGATGCTGCTGACCCCTCTGACAGGACCTGAGCGTGGTGTGTCCCGTGTGCAGAGAGCCTCTGACCTACGACCTGCGTCTGCTGCTGTCCTCTCCTGCTCCTCAGCTGCCCGAGGTGAAGTGGACTCTGAAGGTCCGACATGAAGACCGTCTCAGAACTCTAACAGACTTTCAGTTTCCTTTCAGCTCGACGAGGCCGCTGTCGGCTCCCACTTTCAGCAGAAGTGGGGCGAGCTGCAGAAGCTTCTGGACAAACAAAGATCTAAAGGTGGAATCATCGACCCTGAGGTGGAGTCAACCCGCTACCTGATCCACATCCAGGTGAGACCCTCACACACCTGACCCTAGACCTCTCCTCACAGGTCAGCTTATGATGATGATGGTGTTAGTGATGATGATGATGTTAGTGATGATGATGGTGTTAATGATGATGATGATGTTAGTGATGATGATGATGATGATGATGATAGTGATGATGATGATGTTAGTGATGATGATGATGATAGTGATGATGATGATGATGGTGTTAGTGATGATGGTGTTAGTGATGATGATGGTGTTAGTGATGATGATGATAGTGATGATGATGATGATGGTGTTAGTGATGATGATGATGTTAGTGATGATGATGGTGTTAGTGATGATGATGATGGTGTTAGTGATGATGATGATGTTAGTGATGATGATGATGTTAGTGATGATGATGATGTGTTAGTCATGATGATGATGATGATGGTGTTAGTAGTGATGATGATGATGATGGTGTTAGTAGTGATGATGATGATGA